AGAGATTCCAGAAGGAGAGCACCAGGGTCCGGACTCCGGAGGGGTCCCAGAAGACGATCTGGTCGACGAAATCGGGGAGTTGGGGGGCCCACCTTGTGACCCCGCGGACCCCTAGCTCTCGCCGGAGCTGAAGCGAGAAGTTGAGAAGCTCCACGTCAATTTAGAACATCTGTCCCTCCCCGAGTTTCTTCGAGTTCTGAAAATCGGAAAGGCGCGAGAAGACGTGTTGCTTTGGACCCGCTCGAAGTTTCGCTGCAACGCTTGCGAGCCCCACAGGCGCCCGGGATGGTGCAGGAGGGCGCATTTGCCCAGAACGTATCGTTTTAACAAGATAATTGCAGTAGACTTGTTCTACGTGCAAGTGGGCCGGCAAGCCGCGCCGGTGCTGAACATAATCTACCATGGGTCAAACCTCCAGTTTTGCACCTTTCTCCCAGGGGCCACCTCTCAGGACGTCTGGTTTGCTTTCTGTCGCATCTGGGTTCGTCCCTACGGAATCCCGGAGGTCCCGATAAGCGACGGGGGCCCCGAATTTGCCGGATCATGTGCCAGAGGCCTCGAGCATTTAGGAGTTCTGCATCATCTCTGCAATTCCGAGGCCCCTCATGAAAACGGCAGGTTCGAGAGGCACGGAGGACTGATCAAAGACGCCTTGTCGAAGGCAGCGCTGTTGTCCCATCCAGCCAATCTCGAAGAGATGGAAGACCTGTTATGCGAGACCGTCGCCGCGAAAAACCGCTTCTCACACAGAGGCGGCTTCTTGCAGTTTAAGCATGTTTTCGGCGAGAATCCCCGATTGCCGAGGTCAATATTATCAAATGATGCTCACGACGAGATTGGCACCGACGACGTTGCGAGGGGCACGTCTGATGGAGACGCCGCTGCTGCCACTTACGCCCGGAAGCATGTGCTTCGCGAGGCCGCTCGCAAGGCCATGATGTCTTTAGACGTGGCCGATCGTCTCAGATACGCGTCCCGGGCCAGGAAGCATTCCGACAAACAGTGCAATCCGGGCACCTGGGTTTACGTCTGGCGTCGTGCCAGCGCGCAGACTCATCGCAATGAGAGCCAAGCTTTTGAAGGTCTCCGAGGACCAAATCCGACCTGCCACGAAGGAGGAAGCTCTCGGAGGCGAGTTACTCGACTCGGTCGCTTTCGACCGGCTCAGGCAAGAGCTGACTTCCCCAGGGCGTCGGGTCGGCGCGGTGGACGTCCAGTCAGAAGGACCTCCACCTCCCGAAGCCCGTGATCAGCCATCAGAGGCCGATGAGGAGCCTCCTCCGAGACAGGAGCAACCAGTCCCACGGATCGATCCGCCCGAGCTCCCGGGTTCCTCGGCTCCTCCTCCTCCTGGGCCTCCTGAGGCCCCGGCGCCCGAGGTTGTCGTGATTGATCCGGAGCCCTCGGCCCCAGGTCACGAGCTGTCCACCGAGCCGCCGGCCCCGGGCAGGCAGACGCGTCAGGCCAGCCAGGAATCCCCTGATCCCATCTCTCCTTCGGACTCCCGCGACCCGTCTCCCTCTCCTCCTCGTTTGTCTCCCTGCGTCCCTCCGTTCCTCCTCCGCTGCAGGCCGCTCCAGAGGCCGCCGCTGAGGTCAGGCGGGCCTCTTCCCAGTCCCGCAGGCCGCTAGTCAATCCTCCCGAGCCCGAGCCGACTCGTCCCAGGATCACCCCAGTCGAACAGATGGGTGTTCCTGCTCCCGGGCGGGTGCAAGAGCAGGTTGCCGAGTTTGATGCCAGGTCCGGGACCATCGCTCCTCCCAGGCCGGTCGTTCGAGGCGCGGGAGGTGGCGACGTCCCGATGTGCATTTTAAGACAAAGGGCAGCTCAGGCTCCACCACCTCCGGCTTCTCAGCCCGCTGCCAGAGTGGGCTCGCGTTCGCCCAAGAGAGGCGGGCCGTCAGACGGAGCATCGGCGTCGGGCCATTTTGGATGCGCCGAGGGGGGGTTCACGCCTCGTCCGGGCGCGTCTGTTCCTATAGCCTTGCATTTTGATCGGCCCAGACCGAGGGCGAGGAGCAAGAAGAGCAACTATGGGGGGAGCTGTGCTCCTGGTTTTCCTTTTCGCCCGACTTTTACCGGGATCCCTGGTCGACTCAGGTCTTTGCAGCCGGCCAGTCCGGCCGGGGATCCAGTGCCGCTGCGCCTCCGTCTCGTGGGGGAGCGGAGGTCTCCTTGAAAAACTTGTCCTCTCGCGAGAGGGCTCTGTTTGATTTTTCGGATGCCAAGGAGTGGGGGGCCATTTTGAGCTCCGGAGCGGCGCGTGTGGTTCCAGCCTCAGAGGTTTCCATCATCAGAAGACGGCGTCCAGACCGCATTCTGGGATCCAGGATGGTGAGGCGCTTCAAACCCCAAGAGGGAGTTGGTTCGGACCCCTTGGCAAAGTCAAGATGGTGCGTGCAGGGCCATCAAGACCCAGATTCGGACGAGCTCCACGTGTACGCTCCAACTCCTCAGAGCGAGACCGTTCTCTTGACCTTGCAATGTGTCGCCTCGTTAGGCTGGGAACTTCAGGTTGCGGACGCAAAGAACGCTTTCTGTCAAAGCGACCCGTTGCGTCGCCCGAAGGGGGCATCTACTGCGAGCCATGTCACGGTTTAAATTTGGCCCCCGGGGAACTCGTGGAGCTTATAGCTCCAGTCTATGGGCTCAACGATGCCCCGGTCCTCTGGCACCGGACTTTAACAGACTGGCTCGGTTCGATCGGATTTCGAACGTCTCTTTTGGGCCCCTGTCTGTGGTCGCTTCGTTCGGGCCAAGGCGAGCTTAGAGCAGTCATTTTCATAGAGGTCGACGACCTCCTGGTGGCAGCTCATCCCTCGATGCGCTCTTCGCTCAAGGAGCAGATCCAGGCCAGGTTTCATTTTGGAAAATGGCAAGAGGGCGAGGCCGACTACGCAGGTCGCCACATTAAGCAGCATGATAATAATATATGCGTCGACCAGGAGAAATGTATCCAGGAGCAATTCACGCCGATGCGGCTCGAGAAATCTCGTCTCTCGGACCCTTCCTCCCCGTTGACCCCGAGTGAGGTCAAGCTTCGCAGAGCCTTGATCGCTCAGGTCCAGTGGGTCGTTCGAGAATCGAGGCCTGACGTGTCACGCTGTGCTTCTTTGCACAGCGCTGCACTGCGCTGCGCTGCCGAGTCCGACGATCGCGGACGCCCAGCTTGTGATCAAGGCATGTAAGCATCTCAAGTCGACTGCCAGTCAACGTTTGACAATCTGGCAGTTAGATCCGGTATCAGTCGCATTCGTGACCGTATCGGACGCAGGGGGCCCGGGGTCAGCTCGGCGAGGCGGCGCGCAAGGCGCTTTCTTTGTG